AGTCAGCCCTCCTGGCCCTATATCACTCTCTTATTACCCTATCTCACCTATGGAATTTGTGCATGGGGCTCAACAACAGTTAACCATCTCAGACCCCTAATTACCCAACAAAAGGCTGGGAGTTAGAATGATAACAAATTCTCACTACAGGCAGCACACTCCACCAATATTCAAAACACTAACCTACTCACCATACAAAAACATCCATACTTATTACTGCACCTATTACATACATAGAACACTTAACTCTGATATTAACCCTCCCCCAAACATCTCCTTGCCAACCTCAACAGAAACCATGACCATAACACAAGGCACAGATCACTCTTTGATGTTCCTCGTGTTCATCTCACACTATGCAAAAACTCAATGCACATAAAAGGCCTAAAATCTGGAATTCATTACCTTAAATATAAAAGAAACACTACCTGTTTTAAATTCAAAATCTCTACTCAAAGATCACTTACTCACCCAAAACCAAATAAATATGAATAACTGAACCTTTATAAATTGTATATCTTAAATGTTTCTCACAATTATACACATAAATGTTAAACCTAAAACCCAATCTAACTTTATTATTTTTTTTAAATACACTACCTAACAGAATCCTTCATATGACCTGTCTTTGTAATACTCACTTGTGCTTTATAGTAATCTGTTTACATTAATGTTTTATCACTGACTTCATCATTGCTTAATTAATCTTAAGTTAATTTTAAGCCAGCCCGTAATGCTATGCATAGTATAAGTGGCTTTGGCATACTGCTCTTATCTGTATTTTTTTGTACCTCTGTATGTGTGCACAAATTTATAATAAATAAATAAATAAATAAAAAATAAATAAATAAATAAATGGTGTCATACAGAGGTCGGGTTGGACACGGCTCATGGTACCATAGAGAGGTCGGGTTGGACACGACTCATGGTGTCATACAGAGGTCGGGTTGGACACGGCTCATGGTACCATAGAGAGGTCGGGTTGGACACGGCTCATGGTACCATAGAGAGGTCGGGTTGGACACGACTCATGGTACCATAGAGAGGTCGGGTTGGACACGACTCATGGTGTCATACAGAGGTCGGGTTGGACACGACTCATGGTGTCATACAGAGGTCGGGTTGGACACGGCTCATGGTACCATAGAGAGGTCGGGATGGACACGACTCATGGTGTCATACAGAGGTCGGGTTGGACACGACTCATGGTGTCATACAGAGGTCGGGTTGGACACGGCTCATGGTACCATAGAGAGGTCGGGTTGGATACTCCGGCTCATGGTGTCAGTGGCCCTTATAAACCCAACAAAGAACAACAACAAAGTGGCGGCGAAGGAGGGAAATTATTGAACATTTTTGTCAATTGTTGTGAGTTAATATAATGTTGGAGTAACTATCAGTGGAAGATTGATTTATGAGGTAAGTAGGAAGACTGATATATTAATATATATTGTGATAAAGACCAAGCAATGTAATACCACAATGGAAATAAGTCACTCCGTCTGACTTTTTTGGGTTATCCCAGGTTTTTATTTATTTATTTATTTATTAACAATTTATTTATTAACAATTGTTGTCAGCTAGGACTGTATACCATGTACATGTACTTGTAGTAAATAAAGATTATTATTATTATTATTATTATTAACCCAGGATAACCCAGTGTTGGTAACCCAGGATAACCCAGTGTTAGTAACTCAGGATAACCCAGTGTTGGTAACCCAGGATAACCCAGTGTTAGTAACCCAGGATAACCCATTGTTAGTAACCCAGGATAACCCAGTGTTAGTAACCCAGGATAACCCAGTGTTGGTAACCCAGGATAACCCAGTGTTAGTAACTCAGGATAACCCAGTGTTGGTAACCCAGGATTTAAACCCCTTGTTAGTAAACCCCGGATAACCCAGTGTTATAACCCGGATAAAACCCGTGTTGGTAACCCCGGATAACCCATGTTGAAATCAGGATAACCCCGTGTTGGTAACCCCGGGTACCCATGTTAGTAAACCCGGAAAACCCCTTGTTAGTAACCCCGGATAACCCCCTGT